GTTTCCAGCTGTCCCAGGTGATTGTGAACTGTGGTGGCATGTCATCAGTCATCGATTCTCTGGGTGAATGCCAAGGAAGCCTGCGGCTGCCGGGGATCATGATGCTGGGATACATCGCTGCTCAAAATGAGAACCTCGCCATGGGCATCATTCTCTCCAAGGTGTGTGCACGTTCCCCTAATCTCTCTTCAGGTGACAGCTGAAGCCATCACTAAATCCATACGCATTCCCTCAGGTCTTGTAGTATCTAGGTAATGTATAAACTGAACTTGTCCTCCTGTCCTGTAGGGGGTGCACCAGCTGGCCCTGTGTCTGTCTGAGGAGCCTGAGCAACACATCAAGGCAGCCACGGCCTGGTCCATCGGCCAGATTGGGCACCACACGCCAGAGCATGCAAAGGCCGTGGCCACGGCGAACCTGCTGCCCAGCCTGCTGCAGCTCTACATGGAGGCCAGCAGCTCAGAGGACCTACAGGTCAAAGTAAGAACTGCAAGTTTTGATTTCTAGTTTTTACTTTTGATTAATCAATCAATAAAAAGGTTTAATCATTACTAGTAACTGGTATCAGCTATAGACTGTATAAAGATGGACAACATGACAGCTCCCTAAAAGTGAAGCCAAAGCATCTCAATCGCCGCCTGGCGGCTGGCTGCAGTGTAGGCAAAAAACCTCTTAAAGGATGAGACATGGACCAAATGATACATGTCAAAGAAATTAAAATGATGTCATTTTAGATAGTTCTTACCACTCTGATATTTGTTCAAGAGCTAATTTTCCAGTAAGGTTCATCTTAATTAATTATTTGATGCCCAAAAACGGTGTAAAAAATCATGATTGAACAAGCAGGTGACCTCCATGACGTGTGCAGAATGGCAGCAGTCTTTTCTGGGATTTTTTACCTTCGTTTCTGGGTAGTGGGAGCAAGTGGAGCCGCGTCGTCCGTCTTTATTCAGTCTTTGGAGAAGATGAGTCAAACTCTTAAAGTCTCCTGTTAAAGAGGCAAAGAGGAGATCTTTATCATTTGTGTTTCATCATTTTCTCCTGTGTCTTTACAGAGTAAGAAGGCTCTGAAGAGCATCCTGCAGAAGTGCACCTACCTGCCTGCTCTGGAGCCCCTCCTCTACGATGCTCCCAGCAACATCCTCAAACATGTTGTGTGCCAGTTCAGCAAAGTGAGTATCACAACCTGAATTTAAAAAATCTGTCATTTTGATTTCAAGAAATGTCCAAATATTTGGTGATTCAGATCATGAGGCCTTGTTCATTTGTGTTTATACACCCCGACCTCCCTCTTATCCAAGGTGCTGCCTCATGACAGTAAGGCCCGACGTTTGTTTGTGACCAGCGGAGGTCTGAAGAAGGTGCAGGAGATCGACGCTGAGCAGGGCTCTCCACTGCAGGAGTACATCAACGCCATCAACAGCTGTTTCCCAGAGGAGATAGTCAGGTACGCACAAGAATGCTAAGACACACACTTCAACAACATCTAACCTCTGTGAGTGTGTGTAACAGTGAGAGATGTAAACAGTAATCTAGGACTGACTCATCAGATCACACACAGTCTGAGCTGTGGTCTGAGTCTGCTGAGTCAACATGATCTTATCTCCAACTATCTACTACAGCTCATCATTTACCTCACATTTTATTTTGTTAGAGAAACAAAAAGCTTTATTAACAAAATGATCATAAATAAATCTAGAATGGCACTCAGTAGAACACATACTGTACATCCACCCAGGCCCAACGGTCACCTTATTTTCTGGAGAATTTGTAAAAAATGCAAAATTTAATTCAAATTTGTCTTGGCCCTTCTCCAAGTGTCATGGAAATCAGCTCAGTGTTTTTTTCTCCTCGATGAAGACAATGAACAAGAAAAATTCAAAAGGGTAAAGTTAAAAATGTGTGTGTGTGTGTGTTTCATTTCAGGTACTACTCCCCTGGCTACTCAGAGGTCTTGTTGGAGAGGTTAGAGAACTACCAGCCGGCCTTGTGATCACAACACATCTTGAATTCAAAAGATGTAGCCTTTTCATACTTTAAAGGGATAGTTCACCCAAAAATGAAAATTCGCTCATTACCTACCTATGCCGATGGAGGGTGGGTGAAATGTTTGAGTTATTTGCCTTATATGCTGTAATAAGGCGAAAACTGCAACATTGGTACAAATGTAAAAAGTTTCTATATCTTTTATCGATGAAATATAAATTGAATTAAAGCACAGCAGCAACCTGATTAAGTATCTCTTAAGTATAGCTTTTCACAACCGATGTGACATTTCATGAGAGTGTGTCTGGAACTAATCTCTACAGAGGTCAGGGGTCATGTTTAGTGACAGAGCTGCAGCCCTGGAGGTGGTAAGGAATTAGTGTGTTGCTTAAAGACACTTCAACAGGCTGGATGCCTAATGACAATGGATTTGAACCTGCGGCTCCTTTGCCAACTTTGCCCTCATAGTCCATATACAGCTCATGCATCATATGTTCATCACAGGCCCACAGATGTTTTCCAGCCCTTATATAAAACGTATAAATAACGAACGAATCTCCCCTGTAATAGTGAAAGTCTCTGCTGTTGGTTCACACTGCCTCCTGGCGGCTGTGGTCTATCACTGCAGTTCAGCTATGCATATGCATGCATGTATGTATGTATGTGTGCGCGCAGCAGCTGTAGCGCACGGCTCGATCCGCTCTTTGTTTGTTGTCTCTGCTGCTCGTGCACATTGCCCCGTCGCCCCTCACCCTGCTCTCACCGCAGAGGAGACGTGAGCGCGCAGCTGTCTGCAAATAATGCCCTAAAAACTGTGCGTGCGCGCGGGTGCGTGGTCGTGTTTCAGCCTATTTGACAAATTTCCAGAGAAATGAGGGAGTTTTTCCTCTTGATCTATATATAAACCACAGGTCAGGACTATATAAGCAGAAATATATAGCTATATATATTTAATCTTTTACTGTGTCATACAACCAAACTGCAGAGGGTACATTTAATATTTAAAATATAAACAAATCATCATAGTTAGATAGCTTATTAATCTATAAAATACATATATCTTTTGTAAAACCTAATGCAGCCACGATCTTCTGTCAAAACACATTGAATGTTCCTTATTTTAAGCAGGTTTAACGAAGGCTCATTTATCACTGCAACAAATAAACTATAGTATCTATATCTATATATCTATAACCCTATATCTATAAATCTTTTCATCAAATCATAAGCACAAAAAAACAAAAAAAACATCACCACAAAATCCATCGCTATTCAAATCTAATGACTTGTAATAAAAGAGCATCATAGCCTACAAGGGGTTTAATACTCTCATCTTTCAGCAACAGGTGAATTGCATTATATTGTATGAGACTGATAAAACGAAGTGAAGAATCATTAATAGGTGCGGTAAAAAAATCCGTTTGTCTCGGCAAAAATGAAAACAAAAATATAGAAAGTATTTTTTTCCTCTGTCAGTATTTGTGTAAAAAATATAAAATAAAAAATAAAAACATCTGAGGAATAATTTTTAAAGGAATAAATATGAGACAGCATAGTGTAAAGAGGGAGTAAACACCAGAGGTTGGTTTAGAGTTAAGTTTGAGTGAAGGCTTACGGATGGAGTGTATTATTATCATTATTAAATGTGAAGACCAATAAAACATACATCATTTTGGCCTTTCAGCTACTGAAAGGGAACTCTCACCACCGTCAGACAACAAACAAACACACGCACACATTAATGTCCTTTCGATGGCTGTTATGATGTCAAAGCACTTTCTAAAGGAGGAGACTTCCTGGTCTGTTGTGTTTTGGCTCCATGCAAATTCAATTAATTTCTGTGCATTTAAAAAAAAAAGGATTTTTAGTTTGCATCAGTTTAAGTCTGGCTTTGTCTTTGCCATATGAAACCCAGTGTTGTTATTTAGAAAAAAAAAGACAATTAAAAAACAACACTCTCCCAGCATGCACTGCTTTGATTTCTGCATTTGCTGATGTTTGACTGCAGGAAGCCTCCAGGGCCAGACAGAGCAAAGCAGACTGACAGTTGATCGCGTTCCCTCTTTTCCTTTATGACACGACCTACGGACATTAAAACACGAAAACAGCCCGTTTATAGTGACGGAGCAGAGAAACATCGACGACTGACTCAGGATGAGATCTCATCCTGACGACAAGCAGGGATCCGGGTTTCGCACAGAGACGGAGGTAAAGAGTCAAGAGAATGTAAATGTTTGTAGTTGTTGTAAATCGGAAACAAAGAGATTTTTTGGACAAACACTCAAAAATGAAATGCAAAAATAAACAAATGAGAGATAAAATAAAATAAAGACTTAAATTTGATTGCTCGTCGCCAACAATATGTGGCTGCTTAAGCACACAAAACGTGTGTGTGTGTGCAAGGTTAAATTATTATAAAATACATTTATATGTTAAATATTATAGCGTCTGTTAAGATGTATGATACAATAAAATATAAAATAAAATATATTATTAGTTAACTGTTTTTAACATTTAACTTTTGTTGAAAATTATCAAAAAGGCCTTTACAATGATAACATAAGATTTCACACACACAAGGCTGCGTTGAGGCGATAACGTGAGGCCACAGCCGCCAGGGGGCAGTGTGAGCCCTGCAAACAACAGCAGACAGACACGTCTTTCATTATGACAAGTGAGGGATTTTTTTCTTCTTCACTCAATTATATCTATCTATATATAGATGTATATAATTGTTTTATATGAAATTGCTGGAACAACAGTGGACCTGTCACGAACATGATGTATGAACTATGCTTTACTTAAATCTTGCATCGAATCTTGATGAACCAATTATTCAGTCTGGTTTCTGACATTTGGGTGAGTTCATGCACACCAGTAGCCGGCTGGAGGTCATTTTGTTGGGATCTGGCAGTGCTCCATTCTGTTCCTCCACACAGAAAGGAGCAGATACCGGTCCTGCTGCAGGGTTGATGCCCTTCTATGGCCCTGTCCAGCTCTCCTTGTGTAACAGCAGATCTCCTCCTCCATAATCTTGAGTCTGTGCTGGGAGACACAGCAAACCTTCTTGTAAGGGCACATATGGACGTGCCATCCTGAAGGATCTGGACTATCTGTGCAACCAAAAGTAAGTGTTCCCTTGATTTTTTTGAGCAGTGTATATGGACTTCATGAACTATATCTGTGGGGGAGCTGGCCTTTAACAAGACGACACAACTTCATATCCATGTGCTTAAGTCTCTTTGAGCAAAACACATACATTCCCTACTGCCTCTGAGGCTGCTCTATCACCAAACCTGACCTTTGACCTCTCTGTCTGAAATCACTCACTAATCACTATAGTGCACTACATAAGGAGCTTACCAATTTGTAGTGGTGTCTAAATGTTTAGTGAAGTTTTTTATACCCTATATAGTGCACTCATTGTTTCCCACAATCGTCAAAAGTAGTGTAAAACCGATGGTCACTAATTGAGCAATATAGGGTATGCAATCATGCATCGTGCTCGTGGGGGAGAGACAAGAGGAGTGAGAGAGCAGGAAGAATTTGAGAGAAAACATCATTAATCATAATGGAAAACAATATTTGACTAATGATACTGCCCTGAGGAGTACCATTTTCCACCATATACATTCCTGATAAAGCTGTCCCAATTCTTACTTGGATAAATCAAATAAAGTCTCTGAGTCCTACCTGCTGTTCCTGCTATGCCTGATGGGCAAACATATTACTTTTCACCATACATATTATTATTCTTCCTCCATATGAAAATTTGGGATGCCACTCCTCCTGCACTATTGCTCACGCATGCACAAATAATACAACAAAACATTTGGGTTGGTTGGGAATGGTGTGCCCTGATTTTTCTCAAAGATTTGCCAAACTGTGAAACTCAAAAACTGCAAAAAAATCTGTGAAAAATGTAAAACCCTTTGATGTCAGCCAGGGTGGATGAAGTCATAGCCCAAACTTCCTTTGATATCAACTGGAGTGTAAAAAATTACTTGAATGTAAAGCAAGTCTTTGTTGACAATAATGGTTATTGCTTTGACATCTTTTAATTTGAGTCCTATTTATGCAGTGCAACAATTGATAATTTGCCACCCGCCAATAAACCGAACTAAGAAGAAGTGCTCAAGTCAGTCATAAAAGCAGCTGTAGAAGCATAGAAATCACTGCTCTGAACCCTGTGATTTAAAAGGGTTTTCTGGTTTGTCAAAGCAATTTAATTCGTTAAAAAGTTTCATCTGAGTAACAATGAGTCAGCGAGAGATCATTCGAGGTGAGTCATCAGGAATGGTTTTAAGCCATCAGAGGAGACTTGCATCAGGTGACACACTAACATGTTTGTGCTTTGCAGAATTCGAGCAGGAACAGAGGTCAAGATTTCAGTTTGTGCAGATGATTGCAGATAGGGCATCCAGACCCCAAAACATAGAGACCCTGCAGCGTGTTGGTAAGAGACAAAGATAATAATGGTAAAGAAAAATACTTTGCTTCAGCTGCCAACTCCAGTGTTTCCTCTCCTGCAGGGGTGATGTCCTCACTGCATCTCCTCATACAGGAAGTGAGCCCTGGCATCCAGCAGACTGCAGCCTTGGCTCTTGGCCGCCTGGCCGACCACAGCATTGACCTGGCGAAGGTCATCGTGACAGAAGACATCCTGCCTCAACTGGTCCATTCTTTTCCCTCGAAGAACGTAAGTAATCTTTATTCATCGCCATTGTCAGGGATACTTGAATTACAGCTTACCACAACACTTATAGCACATAAAATGTATAAAAACATTAAATGTAAAAACCCTTTTTACATTGGAAAGCAATTACTCTTTATTAAGTGGTGCCTATGAGACCCTGAACTATAAGAGCATAAAGATTATGTCAACAAAACAGGATTAAAAAGTCTAAAATGACTATGTATATGACCAATTGATGTGATTATCTATGTGTGTGGTACAGCTTTTACTCATGTGATAAATTTAAGGTAATTTTAAGATGAAGACATGTTTTAAGGGCTAGGATGAGGCAAGAGATATACAGTATGGTTAAGGTTAGAGCAAGTCACCAGGAAATCAATGTGTGTGTGCGCAGAGGTTCTATAAGAAGGCAGCAGCGTTTGTGTTTCGTGCTGTAGCCAAACACTCCCCTGACCTGGCCCAGGCTGTGGTGGCCTGTGGGGGTGTGGATGCCATGTTCCTCTGCCTGGAAGATTTTGACCCCGGGGTGAAGGAGGCCGCAGCCTGGGCTCTGGGTAGTGTCGCCCAACACAATGAGCGTAAGGACAGACTTCCATTCTCTCTCCATCTCTCTCTCCATCCACCCGGTGTCTGTATTTTCACGTTCTCCTCCTCTCTCCATCAGTGTTGGCTCAGTCTGTGGTGGATGTGGGTGCGGTCCCTCTGCTGCTGCTCTGTCTCCGGGAACCAGAGATGGCTCTTAAACGCATGGCGGCCTCCACCCTCAGCGACATCTGCAAACACACGCCGGAGCTGGCGCAGGCGGTGGTGGACACCGGTGCCGTGGCGCAATTGGCTCTGATGATCCGCTACCGGGACGCAAAACTGAAGGTGCTTGTTATGAGAAGAACTTACTTAGAGGTACAATCTGTAGAAGTTTGTGATATCTAGTGTTGAAATTGCATGTTGCAGCTGAACACTCCTCACCTCACCCTCTCTTTCAAACATGAAAGAGAACCTGTGGTAACCTTCAGTTGTCAACCTACAAGTTGTCACTCAAAAGGGGTTTAGTTTGTCCAGTCTGGCCAACTGTTAAAAAAACATGGCGGCTTCCATAGAGAGTAATCCATCGATGTAAATATGAAGTATTTAAATATAAAGGGCCTTTTCTGGGGTAAAGAAAACTACAAAGTCTTACAATTTAGATGAAACAAACTAGTGAAAACATGAGGATCATTCTAAATATCTGCCAATAGATCCCTTTCACCTAAATCTTACACACTGGAAAATGTGGTGAAATTTGAGATTTGCTGCTCATTGAAGATGAAAAACAGTTTCCACATAGATGCTGCACAACATGAAGCAGTAACTTCGTTTATTTAATGTGAATGAACTGTGGGAATAATCAGACGTGTTTGTGTGTCCATGCAGAGGCAGGTGTTCTCAGCRCTCAGTCAGATCAGCAAGCACTCTGTCGCCCTGGCAGAGATGGTGATCGAGGCAGAGATCTTCCCTGCAGCCCTGGCCTGCCTCCGAGATCCAGATGAGTATGTGAGGAAGAACGTCACCACTCTGATGAGGGAGGTGGTGAAGCACTCACCAGAGGTACTGCACACACACACACACACACACACACACACACACACACACACTCACACACTCACACACTCACACACTCACACTCACTTACTCGCTTGTAGGGACAACCATCAATGGCAGTAAACAAAGGAACATGCATGTGCTTGTGTGTTTCCAGCTGTCCCAGGTGATTGTGAACTGTGGTGGCATGTCATCAGTCATCGATTCTCTGGGTGAATGCCAAGGAAGCCTGCGGCTGCCGGGGATCATGATGCTGGGATACATCGCTGCTCAAAATGAGAACCTCGCCATGGGCATCATTCTCTCCAAGGTGTGTGCACGTTCCCCTAATCTCTCTTCAGGTGACAGCTGAAGCCATCACTAAATCCATACGCATTCCCTCAGGTCTTGTAGCATCTAGGTAATGTATAAACTGAACTTGTCCTCCTGTCCTGTAGGGGGTGCAACAGCTGGCCCTGTGTCTGTCTGAGGAGCGTGAGCAACACATCAAGGCAGCCATGGCCTGGTCCATCGGCCAGATTGGGCACCACACGCCAGAGCATGCGAACGCCGTGGCCAAGGAGAAACTGCTGCCCAGCCTGCTGCAGCTCTACATGGAGGCCAGCAGCTCAGAGGACCTACAGGTCAAAGTAAGAACTGCAGGTTTTGATTTCTAGTTTTTACTTTTGATTAATCAATCAATAAAAAGGTTTAATCATTACTAGTAACTGGTATCAGCTATAGACTGTGTATAAAGATGGACAACATGACAGCTCCCTAAAAGTGATCTCAATCGCCACCTGGTGGCTGGCTGCATTATAGGTCATAAACCCCTTTTCTGGATGAGACATGGGCCAAATCATACATGTCAAACTCTTATTAAAGTCTCCTGTTAAAGAGGCAAAGAGGAGATCTTTATCATTTGTGTTTCATCATTTTCTCCTGTCTTTACAGAGTAAGAAGGCTCTGAAGAGCATCCTGCAGAAGTGCACCTACCTGCCTGCTCTGGAGCCCCTCCTCTACGATGCTCCCAGCAACATCCTCAAACATGTTGCGTGCCAGTTCAGCAAAGTGAGTATCACAACCTGAATTTAAAAAATCTGTCATTTTGATTTCAAGAAATGTCCAAATATTTGGTGATTCAGATCATGAGGCCTTGTTCATTTGTGTTTATACACCCCGACCTCCCTCTTATCCAAGGTGCTGCCTCATGACAGTAAGGCCCGACGTTTGTTTGTGACCAGCGGAGGTCTGAAGAAGGTGCAGGAGATCGACGCTGAGCAGGGCTCTCCACTGCAGGAGTACATCAACGCCATCAACAGCTGTTTCCCAGAAGAGATAGTCAGGTATGCACAAGAATGCTAAGACACACACTTCAACAACATCTAACCTCTGTGAGTGTGTGTAACAGTGAGAGATGTAAACAGTAATCTAGGACTGACTCATCAGAGCACACACAGTCTTGTCAGAGTTGTGGTCTGACTCTGTTGAGTCAACATGATCTTGTCTTCCACTCCTATTTTCCTTTGTGGCATTTTTCAGGGAAACAGCTTCAGTAACAAAATTATAGTAAATAAATCTATACTGTCACTCAGTAGAGCACAATGGTACTCCTAAATTCAATCAAGCTGCACCAAATGGCACACACTCATAGACTCAATATATGTCAGATATTTTAAAATCAAGATCCACATAATTTTTCCTGGGAAATGTGTCAAATATCAAGAAATGCTCAATTTGAATTATTAGTCAGTGTCCAATCCTTCCGCCAAGTTTTGTGGTAATCTTTACAGTACTTTTGCAACATAACCTCCTTGGCTAACAAACAAAACAAAAATTAATTCAGTTTTAAAATAAATTAAAAAAAACATTTAAATTTAATAGAAGAGTTAAAATAACATAAGCAGATAAAAATAATAAAGTCAAGCTAAAATTCTAAAATGTGGTTTGAAGAACCAAATCTAACACTAACACAATGATAGTGATGAAGAAAAATTACTCTCAAAACAGAGTGTATTAATATTGTGTGTGTTTTGTTTCAGGTACTGCACCCCTGGCTACTCAGATGTCTTGTTGGAGAAGGTAGAGAACTACCAGCTTGCCACACATCAAAGGATGTAGCCTTCACAGTTCATTTGATGTCTCCACGTTGGCGACAGCCAGTGGCCGGAGGTATTATGTTTTTGGGTTGTCTGTCTGCCCCATTCGAGTATACGATATCCTCCTTCTCTCTTAAAGACACACAAAGATGCACACCGACTCAGCTGACGTCTCTGACCTTTACAGTTTAAATGTCAATTCATTTGAAATCACAGGGCTAATTAAAAAGATGACAAATTTGTTACAGTCCTAATACGTATGAAAATACCCAAAATTAACACTTCTAACCTTATTATTTAAAAATAATTTGAATTGGAATGATTGACTGACTTTCTCAGACGTAATAAAACAGCAGAAAAAATATAGCATGCCTCCATTTGTTCAGCTCGCAGAATAGCTCATTTTCCAAAATATGATAAAAAAGTCTTAGGTTAGTATGTCGTCCAAAATATGATAAAAAAGTCATAGGTTAGTATGTCGTCCAAAATATGATTTAAAAAAAGTCATAGGTTACTATGTCGTCCAAAATATGATAAAAAAGTCATAGGTTA